TGAATTATAGCCTATGGTGCTTCCCTAATAATCCTCATGATCTGTGAGCTCTATGTGGCCACTGCAGTGAATTATCGAACCCAGGAGAGAGGTGGTGGTGCTTTGGGAGGAACAGTTGGTGAAAGGGCTAGAGGGAGGCAACATGTCTGGCCTTGCAGTAATAGGCCTTGGGCTATTTATCGTGATTCTGCCTTCCTCTTGTGGGATTAGAGGAGGTCAGAACATGTGGCCTCCTTGCCATTTTTGTAGCTTTAGATTGAAAATTTGGCAGTGTGAAATCCTCCAGGATGTCTCATCCAGGATGAATTCTTATTGGCAGTTGAGTCATATGAGGAGTCATGTTCATCTTCTAAGTGTCAAAGATTCAGCAAGTTTTTGTTCAACAGTACAGGTTTATGCCTGTTGTCTTGGCATAACTTCTAATAGTGCTCCTTTTTATTCTCAAAACTATCCTAGATTGTTGTGTGCCATTGAATCAATGAGAAATCACAGCAACTCTGTTGGACGGAGTAGGACTGCCCCATAGGGTTTCCTAGGCTGTAATCTTTACAGGGGCATATCACCAGGTCTTTTCTCCCACAGAACCCCTGGTAGGTTTGAACAGCTGAGCTTTCAGTTAGTAGATGACCACTTAAGGTCAGCTCCTTATCCTAGATTAGAAGATAAATTATATGGTTACCCTGATAGACTGGAAAATACATTTCTTCCTGAAAGTTTAACCCAAAATAATCTCACCAGTTATATCTAGAAACCTCTTTAGAGAATAATTTGCATTGGGAATTTGTATCAGTAAGTTTTGTTTCTTATCTGTTACCCTAATAAGGTACTTTATTTTACTTATTTGTGAAATGTAGGTGATTTGAAACAACTTCACTAGGTTGTTTAAAAGATAAATTTCAATCATGTACACAAAAATCTAGAATAAATTGTAAAATGTGGCTATGTTAAATATTTTGGTTAGGGATTTAAAAAGAGATTGTTATATAGTCACTTCTTATTTTTGCTTCTCTGTGGAAATATGGTACCCTGACCTTGTTAGTCTCCAACTCAAAACTTCATATTACAGGTTTCTCATTCCTGTTAGAATAAACTCCAGAATGCTTTAAAAGAGCATACAAAAAATTATTTGGCCCATATTTAGGTCTGCAGCCCTATTCTGAGTCTCTGTCTTCCTCACACTGGTCAATTTTAGCTCTTCAAACTTTGTTGTTGTTCTTGTTGTTATGTGCTGTCGAGTCAGACCTGACTCATAGCGACCCCTCCTTGGGTTTCTGAGGCAGTATCACTGCGGAAGTAGATTGCCCAACCTTCCTTCCGAGGAGTGGCTGGTGGGTTTGAACTGCCAACCTTCTGGTTAGCAGTCAAGTGCCTTAGACACTGTGCTACCAGAGCTCCTTTCAAATTTGGTAATTGTGATGAAATAGCAATTATACAGACTACTGTTGGCCTAAGTTTCAGCTTTGGTTCTTCAGATTTTCTAGTGGTGATAATAATAACAAACAAGTATACAGGCATACTTCATTTTATTTTACTTTGCTTGATTGTGCTTTGCAGATATTGCGTTTTTTACACATTGAATGTTTGTGGCAACCCTGCATCAAGCAAGTCTATTATAACCATTTTTCCAACCGAATGTTCTCACATTGTATCTTCCTGTTATATTTTGGTAATTCTCATAATGTTTCAAACTTTTGTATAGTGCTATTGCCCACCTAATAGACTATGGTATAGTGTAAACATAACTTTTATATGCACTGGGAATCCAAGCAGTTTGTGTGACTCACTTAATTGCAACACTAGCTTTATTGCAGTGATCTGAAACCAAGCCTGTTATATCTCCGAGATATTCCTGTATAGATGTAGCATTTACCTAAGACTAAGTATTTTACATATATTAATACATTTCAATCTAGCAACCTTATAAGGGAGATTTTTTTTATGTCCATTTTATAAATGATAAAAACAAGGCACAGAAAGGATAATAACTTTCCTCTGGTCACACAGCTAGTAAGTGGTAGAGCTAGCCAGTGTAGCTCCAGAGTTCATACTTTTAACCAGAGATTGATGTATTTCATCTCTAAAGGGTCAGATAGTAGATATTTTAGGTTTTGTGTGCTATATGGTTTCTACTGCAGTTGTTCAGCTTTGTTATTGTGATATGAAAGTAGCCATAGACAACATATAAGTGAATAAGCATGGATGTGTTTCAATACAAGAGACGGTAGTACAGATTTGGCCTGCAGGCCATCATATGCTTACCCCTGCATTCTCTCTTTTTAATTAATATTAGATTTAATGAGAAAATCTAGCCAGTTTCACAAATATAAGATCTGTGTATAAGTTAATTGCATTTCTTTATACCAGTAAGAAAATAAGAATGCAGTTTTCCAAAATTCAAAAAGCAGTAACGTATGTTATAAAGTACTGACACCAATGAAAGATATAAAAACCTTCATACAGGAAAGCATGAAGCTTTATTATTGGAAAAAAGTTTAAAAGACCTAAATAAATAGATTATGTCTCAATATAAAGAAAACAAAAATCCTCACAACTGGACCAATGAGCAGCATCACAATAAATGGAGAGAAGATTGAGGTTGTCAAGGAATTCACATTGCTTGGTTCTACAATCAATGCCAATGGAAGCAGCAGTCAGGACATTAGACGATGTGTAGCATTGGGAAAGTCAACTGCAAAGGAACTGTTTCAAGTGCTGAGGAACAAGGATATCTCCTTGAGGACTAAGGTGCACCTGACACAATCCATGATATTTCCAATCACCTCGTATGCATGTGAGAGCTGTACAATGAATAAGGAAGACCGAAGAAGAGTTGATGCTTTTGAGTTGTGGTGCTGGCGAAGAATGCTGAAAGTACCATGGACTGCTAAAAGAACTAACAGATCTGTCCTGGAGGAAGTGCAGCCAGAATGCTCCTTGGAAGCAAGAATGGCCAGACTTCATCTCACCTATTTTGGTCATGTTGTAAGAAGGGACCATTCCCTGGAGAAGGATGTCATGCTTGGTAGGGTGGAGGATCGACAAAAGAGGGGGAGGCCTTCAACGAGATGGATTGATACGGTGGCTGCAATGATGGGCTCAAGTATATCAGGGATTGTGGGGCTGGCGCGGGATCAGGCAGTGTTTTGTTCTGCTGTGCATGGGGTCGCTATGAGTCGGAAACGACTCGACGGCACTTAACAACAACAACAACAACAACAAATAAATAGATATACCATGTTCATTTCTCTTAAATTATTCTGTGTACTGCTTGAACACTTTCTCTCAGAAAGATCAGCACAAGGCCAGTCCCCATGAGGAGGAGGTTAAAGATGTCCCAATTGTCCAAAGTACCGTACCCCTCCATCATTTCAGACATTAACTCCTCCTCCTCCTCCCAGTAATTTCCCCAGTCTTAGGGTTCTGTATTTCACCGTAACACCTCACAGAACTCACAGACACCCAAGGGTTCGTCTCATGTAGTAGTGGTGGAGGCTGGCAGGCTGGTGAGTCCCAGGTCTGTGAGTAGGTCTGGAAGATCCTCCCAATTCTCGGGGTTTGATGAACCTCGATCAGCAGATCAGATGACGGCCGCTGTCCCAAATCCAGGGGTGAGATGAGGATGATCCAAGATACAAAACTGGAGCAAGAGGAGAGCGAATCTTCCCAGGAGATTCATAGGTATACCCTCAGGGAAGCTAAGGGTGGTGATTTGAATTATACCCTCCAGCAAGGTAGGACTCAAGATATATTCCACCTGTGTTGCCCCAACAGCATTAACCTAAATCCCATCACAGAGTCGATTGCCAGTCATTATAAGGAAGCCAAGTTGATACCTGAGCTTAACTACCACACCACCCCAAACAGGCGTGAATAATGGGATTTACAAAACATCACAGAATGGAGGACAATGGCTAGAAGGGCCACATCAAGCAATTCACTGCAGTACTCAATGCAATTATTATGAAAATCCCCTCTTTTTAATAGAACATGAGATTATTCTTGTAAAACTTCAGAAAAAATTGTTTTTGCAAAAGTTCCGAGATGCAAGAGTAGCCAAGTCACACACAGGTAAAATTTTGCCGAAGATATTCAAAACTGGTTCCAGTAGTACATCAACAGGGAACTGCCAGATATTCAAACTGTATTCAGAAAAGGACGTGAAACAAGATATCATTGCTGATGTCAGATGGATCTTGACCAAAAGCAGAGAATAGCAGAAAGATGTTTACCTGTGTTTTATTGACTATGTTCACTCATTTATGCCAAGAAATACAGAAGAAAGCTACCAGCAAACCGACTGGAAGACATCTATACTTTTGCCCATTCCAAGGAAGGGTAATTCACAGAATGTGGAAATTACTGAAACATATCATTAATATCACAAGCAAGTAAAATTTTGCTTAAGATAAATTCAAAAAGGTTGCAGCATTACATCAACAAGGAGCTGCCAGAAATTCAAGCCAGATTCAGAAAAGGGCATGGAAGGAAGAATAATAAAGAAGACTGAAGAAGAATAGATAACTTTTTGTTATAATGATGGAGATGAGTATTGAACATACCATGGTCTGCCAGAAGAATGAACAAATCTGTATTGAGAGAAGTACAGCCAGAGTACTCCTTCGAAGCAAGGATGCCGATACTTTGGACGTCTTATCAGGAGGGATCAGTTCCTGGAAAAGGATATGCTTGGTAAAGTAGAGTGTCAGTGAAAAAGGGGAAAACCCTTAAAGAGATGGATCAACACAGTGGCTGTAATGATGGGCTTAAGCATAGCACTGGTTGTGAGAATGGTGTAGGACTGGGCAATATTTCATTCTGTTGTTCATGAGGTCTCTGAGTTGGAACTGACTGAACAGTACCTAACAGCAAGATATAGTTAATATTCAAGGTAGGATAAATTTGTGCTAACAAGTCAACAAACTTTAAGGACGTTCAATCATGTCATTCTTCTCATTGACCTCAAGATTGTTGTTGATATTATACCTCAAAAATAATTCTGCTCTGTAAATTTGCACCCAAAGCACAATAAAAACAAAAATAAGTCATGGAAAAAAAATAAATTAAAAAAATAAAAAAGAAATATCAAATAAACCCTTAGTAAAGTCGTAAAGCCTGATTGGGTGCTGCTTGTGCCCTTACTTTTCATTTCCTCTGCAGTCATGCTGGACTTTCTGAAACTTCTTTTTTACTTCTACTGGAGGTTTTGCACATGCTGTTCCTCTGTCTGGAATACTCTTGCACCTCCCTTTCATTGACTAATTCCTGCTTGTTTTTATTTCAGTTTAAGTATCAGTTAATCAGAAAACCTCCCACACTAGATTTAACCTTAGCGCCTCTGTGTTAGACTGGGTTCTCTAGAGAAACAAAAGCAGTAAAGCTTATATATATGTATATATATAGAAATTTATCTTAAGAAAATGGCTCACACACTTATAGAAGCTGGCAAGTCCAAAGTTCCTGGATCAAACGTCAAGCTAGAGGCTTTTCCATGTCAAGCTGGAGGCTTTTCCCTACTCTTGCAGCCTCAGGGGCTGAGGAGCTGAAGGCTGGCAGGCAGTACACCAGCTGTTGACTCCAATGAATGACAAATCCAAGTTCTCCAAGCCGAATGGTGGATTGTTCACTCACAGACAGTTGTAGGCAGCACAGCAGAATCCTGATCCATAGAAGAATGTCTCCTTTCCCAGGATGTCCACAGATATACTGGAAGAATGCCACACCCCTAGGGAAACTCCCTTTCAACAGATTCAAACATAATCATCTGATCCCATCATGGGAACAGCCACACCATAACAGCTCAAACCACACAGAATTGTGGTCCAGCGAAGTTGACACACAGCTCCGACTATCACAGCCTCCTATGCTTTTATTTTACAACTGTTTCCACACCATTTCTCTTTGATTAATGTCTGTTCTTTTCATTAATCTAAGTTCCATGAAAAGAAGAGTGATATTGGTACATATTTTCCCCCTATATAAGGCTGCTATAAAAATAGGAAATATCTCCTACACATAGGTGATTTCTACTTTCTTGTTAGTTGCCATCAAGTCATCTCTGACTCATGGTGACCTTATGTATAAGAATGAAATTTTTCCAATTCCTGTGCTTCTTCATGATGGTTTGGTATGTTTGAACCCAGAGCCCATTGTTGTGGCTATTGTATAGTGTCTTCCAACCTGTTGTTGTTGTTGTTGTTATGTGCCGTCGAGTCGGCCCCGACTCATAGCGACCCCTCCTTGGGTTTCCGAGGCAGTATCACTACGGAAGTAGGATTGCCCAACCTAGGGGGCTCATTTTCCAGCTTATATTGGGTGGTCTTCTGTTATGATCCATTGGCTCATTTTCAGGCCATTTCTTAGTCTGTCTTAGTCTGGAAGCTGTACTGAATACTGTCCACCATGAGTGACCTGCTGGTATCTGAAATACCAGTGGCATGGCATCCAGTATCATAGCAACATAGCCAATACAGTGAGACAAACTGACAAATAGGTGGTAGACCTACTTTATTATAAATTATAAAATAAAAATGTGTTAAAGCACATGTTGTTACTATCATGCAATGTGTCCTGGACATTTTTCATGTCAATCCATAAAAATCTATCTCATTTTTTCCAAGTGATTTATAATTTGTACATTTTCATGTTGATATTTAGGTTATATCTAATGTTTTCTCTTTTTCAAACAGTAATGAAATAAAAATCTTTGTACAGATATGAGTTATTAACTTATTTCAGTAGGTAAATTCTTTTAAGTGAGATTACTGGGCCTAGAATATGCATCTACTATGCTGAACTAGGATAACACAGCATATTTAATATGTAATGGACTTTGCTAAATTATCCTTTAACCCACCAAAAACCAAACCCA